GAGAGAGAGAGAGAGAGAGAGAGAGAGAGAAGGATTTAACCGCCGAATGCGAACGCGTTTGTGGAGAGGTGCAGAATAAGGATTTAACCGCCGAATGCGAACGCTTTTGTGGAGAGATGCAGAATTATCCTGACTCCTTGTACCTCGCCTCAAACGTGTCCAGGTTCGGGCATCAAAGGCCGTTAGCTCAGAACAATAATGACGACAGATGGGTTTCACTGTCGTGAGCTAACGCTAACGGCACCCGCTTCACATCACGGTTAACATCGTATGTGGCTTAGATTGAGCTTCATTTAACGTCCGGCTGTGTCTGTGTTGTCTTCTTGGCCGTTTACGTTCCCTATCTGTATTTGTTGTGGTTTTGAGCCAACGATGAATCAACGGCGCTGGATGCTTTGTGGCTAAAGGACTGTTTGCCTCGCTCCACTAGTGTCCACAATGTCCACAACGACTCCACATGCATAAAAGACGTATAAATACGGCGATATTGATGTGTCTTTATGTTCTAGCGCAAGATTCTTTCTCCATTTGCACATTTGGTGAGTGGTGGGGCGCGGCCCATTCATTTTGTATTGTAATTGGACCGACTGATGATGTCACTCACTCGTTACCTTTGTCGTGTTGTGTACCTGCTGTTGGCCGTTGCGGCAGCTGACGGTGGCTTCAGTGGAAGGAAGGTGGCGCTTTGCAGAGTTGCTTGCTCGCTTCGCGCTATTAATTAGGCGAGAAATCAGTCGACGCGGTCAAATATGGCGGAGCCCAAGTCCTGGGTTGACATGCCAGGCCTCCGCCGGATGGGCTGGAGGAAGATGGGCGCCATTGGCGGAGCTTTGGCCGTAGCGGGGGCTGTGCTTGGGGGCCTACTTCTTCTCGGCCTGCCCGTGCTCCTCATTGGCGGCTTGTTGCTTCTCCTTACGTCTCCTTGCACATGCGCCGTCGGGTGTTGCACCGCCCCGCTCTGGATCCCTCTGCTTCTTTTCGTCGGTATCCCGGCGCTCATCTTCTTCGTCACCACGGGCGGCATCATGCTGCTCCTCACAGGTAAAGCAAGCCAAGGCGCCCTTCGGCTCAGCTCAAATTTTTTTGCTTAGCGTGAGTTTCAAAAATACCGCGTAACCGCGTCCCGGTAGTTTCACAGCGAAAATATTGGCGGGGCCAAAGTTTCTAGGATTCTCCTTGCATCCTTTCGCAGGGGGCATGCAAATCTTTTTGGACCTTTTTTTTTTGTTTTGTTTTTTTGTGCATGCTAATCTGTTTGTATGTTTTTTTTTTTTTTTTTTGGGGGGGGGGGCATTTACACGTTTCTCCTTGCATCCTTTCGCAGGGGGCATGCTAATTTTTGTCTCGTTCTGTTAACGACTGTTCCGGATGGACTAAATGATGGTGCTCGCGGTACGCCCCTGATTTGTCGTTATACAGACCCGAGCGCGAACACCACTGGAAGCAGATGGTTAAGGGTAGAGTTTACAATTGCGCTTGGGGCACCCTACCTGGCCAGAAAGATGGGTTGGATACATTGCCCGAACTGCAATTGCGAAATGTATGTAGGGTTGGCCTCCGAAATTTAGTTATTCTGAAGGGGTAACTACGCGAAAGTCACAAGAATTAGTTATAATTGCAGTATGGGCCAAGATACAGTTTACAATTGCAATTGCACTTCGGACCCCGTAGATGGGTTGTATACATTGACCGAACTGGAATTGCAAACTGTATCTTGGCCCGTAATACAATTATAACTCATTTTCGTGAGTTCCGCGTAGTTTGCCCTATTCTGAACGATCTAGGTCCAGTCAGTCGAATAATGATATCTTCGTTTTCCTTCTTCTTTGATGGGCTAGCTAAGCTATCTACTGTATGTAGGGTTGCGTCTGTTTGGCAGCGGATTAACGGCTGTTTTTGTTCGGCGGCAGAGGGAGGCGAATAGTGAACGCGCAGTAGTGTTCCTTGGCGCTGGCTTTCAATGATACGTGGGGGTGAGCTGGCCGAGCCGAGTTGATTGGGCGAGTAGGCGCAACGGAAAAAAGCGAGGAAAAGTCGCACCATTACGTTGGCTTGCTAGTTGGGATAAATGGGGGTGGGGGTAGCGGCACCCGCTCGTGTGGACCTGATCTGTTAGCCGGGCGGGTGTGAGAGAGCTACGAACGGCTGTCTGACAGGCGGGGTGTGTGACAGAGCGAACGGCTGTGTGACAAGGCAAACGGTGAAGTGACTTATTAAACAGTTGAGTGACACTTTAATGACAGACCGACTAACGGTTGTGTGACAGAGCGAACGGCTGTGTGACAGGGCAAACGGTTGAGTGACGGATGGAATGTTGAGTGACAGTGCAATGACAGACCAACTAACGGCTGTGTGACAGGCGGGTGTGCAAATGATGGCGTGACGGACTAAACAGTGACAGTGCAAATGATTGTGTGACAGCAAGTGAAGGAAGGCGGGTGTAGGACGGAGCTGTGGGACAGAGAAAGCGGCCGAGTGACAGAGCTTGCTTCGTGATAGACGTTGCAAAGGGTTGATGTGTTACGGAATACAGAAACCAAGCCCCCCGCCATTCTCACGAGAAAAAAAAAGCGACACCATTACGGAGCAGACATAAAGCCGCGCGCGCGTCCCCGTCTTTTCATGACGTTTGTTTTCCTTTGCGCTGTGCTTGCGCATCTGAGGGTATCGAGATTGACCCCAATGAATGCTTCAAAAGTGAGTCAGCAAGACCATACGTCACGATCAAACTTATATGGTGAGGAGGAGATTTTGTCAGAGGAAATGAACGTTTCCTGATTTTGTGCGGGTTTCGCTAAGAACAACGATGTACTTACGTGCCTTTTGAATTGTGTTGTCGTCAACGTGCGCGTGTTGCTTCGTGCTCCCCAGTGTCGGCAGGCTTGACGGGTGCAGCTGGGTGGTGGATCTACCGTTACAGCCGGGGACCGATGCCCCCGGGCGGCGATGCGATGCAGAGAGTTCTCGACCGTGTGAGAGGATGATCCAGGGAAGTGACGGAGAGGATCTCGAAGGTTGGACAGCAAGCAGCATCTCCTGCAGCATGAACCCATCGNNCGTGTTGATCGTGTGAGAGGACGATCCAGGGAAGTGACGGAGAGGATCTCGAAGGTTGGACAGCAAGCAGCATCTCCTGCAGCATGAACCCATCGACTTGTAATCTGACCGTGTAATAAGCGATCGAAGAAGGAAAAAACACCAATGTCCGTGGCCGCGTCGTGAATCGCTAAGCAGAAACCGTTCGTCTCACCGGTCAGGATTGGTTGATTGATTGACTGATTGATTCGTCGTTTGAAGAGCAGATGCGCGATTGGGGACCTCTCTGCTGAGTCTCGCTGGTTGGTCGACACTCCGCTGAGCCTCGCAGGGGGCGACTGAAGATTTGTTGTTGGCTTCGACTCCGATCGTTGTCGGCCAGGTAGCAATGGGTGTACGAAAAAAAAACAAATCGTGTTGAAGCGTGTACAACACACAGGGCTGTGGGGTCAAGACGATGTGATCTGGAGATGCGTTATTGAAGATCTGTCTGTTGACATCCACTGGGATCTTTGTTGATCGTGTATGGATGGATGGGTTTACGATCGGCGAAACTGAGGGTTTCCTGAGGACGTGCGATATGGCTGAGGGGACAACACGATGGGATCTGSAGTCGGGTCTTCTAGTGCACTAGCGAGGCGGTCTCGAGTCGGTGAATGACGGAAGATCATGGAGATAATGATGGGAAGTAGGTGGAGAACGTTGGGGTAGGGGAGTAGGGGAGGAGGAGAAAGCGATTGTGGTGATGATAAGAAGGGTTATCTGATGAAGATGGTTGAATATACTCTAGTATGAGTACTTGGTCGATAATGTAGTAATCGCACTAGGATCTTGAAAGTTAGACTCCCAGCCAGCTGTGGAACTGGGACCTTGGGACCTAAGGCCTAAGGTCCCAGGGGCCGTTGGCAAGTACCCCAGGGGGTGTGGGATCTGAAGAGCGTTGTGTTTTGGGAAAGGGGGGAAGCCGTGCAGGCATCCCCAGTCAGGAGGAAAGACCTCACTCGTGCGCACTGCGGAGAGAGGTAGTCAATTGGGGTTGGGATAGGGGGGTCTAACTTCAAGGGGGGAATGTTGGAGAGCCTCAATTGGGGTTGTGTTTTTGTGTCGGGGTAACTTCGGTGCAGTCACGAAAATAGTTAAAATGCATTCGAAACTGCGTTTTAGCAGTTAAGTCAGGGTCGGAGTTCAATTGCAGTTTAGTCAGGGTCCGAGTTTGAATTGCAGTTGAAACTCGGCCGTATGCAGTTCAGTCAGGGTCCGAGTTTGAATTGCAGTTGAAACTCGGCCGTATGCAGTTCAGTCAGGGCCCTCATCTATCCACGAACAGTAGATAAAACAGAAAAAAAGAAAAAACAACCCTTATGCTGTGATTGCGGTCCGATATAGGATGATACAATACTGGTCTGGAACTCAATAAAGCGTGGAATCCGCCTTGCCCTGGCTGGCAGGGTGCTACAGGGACCTCACAACAAGAAACAAAAAACGAAAACTACCTGTTTCATGTTCTTCACTTTCTGGCCAGATACATTCCTCAAAGCACTGGTGACCTGAGGGCCCAAAGTAGGTGGATTCGAAGTTCCTCGTTTCTTTACTTTTTTTATTTCTTCTTTTCCTTTTATTTTTTTTTGCCTCCATCCCTGCCCCGAGCCCCCCACTTCTTCGGAGTAGTCTACTCTTGAGACTTCGCGTTTGCCTATGAGGGGTAGTGCCTGCCAATCTCGGATGTGGCCGAGACATCTCGGCCGTGCCCAATCTGGGGTGTGGCCGAGACATCTCGGTCATGGCCAGTCTGGGGTGTGGCCGACACATCTCGGTGGTGGCTACTCTGGGGTGTGGCCGACACATCTCAGCCATGGCCCAACCATGGGGCTGGTTTTTTTTTTTTTTTTT